ATGGATGGTAGATGGATGGTAGATGGTTGATAGAAGCTGTAAGGTGTAGATCAAGCATATGTGATAGATGATGGATAGAGTGTAATGATATGTAATTACTATCCGTAGTAAAAAAACGATGCGCATGGGGTATCCTCCCTCCTCTGCTACCTCTGTATCCAACCCAGTCCAACCCATCAAGAGTGGTGAAGCCTTACAACAAGCCCAACAAAAGTGGAAGTCTAAATCTATATCTATACAAATGCTGAAGTGAAAGAAACGCGTAAATGCGCCTCTGCATCATGCGCTCGTGAACGTAACCATAACTGTGACGAGAGCGGGAAACGAAATAATGTGAAAACCCAGCGTAGCAAACCAACAACCAAGACTCTAATCCAACCATCCACCACAAAAAACAGCCCCCCCTACCTCCCCTCACTACTCGGACTCGCCGTCCTAGGACTCTGCCTCCGACTATTCATCTGCGTATTCCGATACGTCTCCTCATTCAACGTATCCAGACTCCTTGTAGGACTCGGCGTCGTACCCCTACTACCACGACTCCTGCTCGGCGAACTAGGTCTACTCATCGCAATCTCATAGCTCGGCAAATCCATGTCCATGCCGCCAGGCGTACGGGACCCAGCGGGCGTGCGCACAGCGGTGTTGTAGCTGGGGGTGCGGGCGAGGGCGTCCATGTCGTAGCTTGAGGGCGGGAGGTCGAAGTACGCTTGTTCGGTGGTGTTGTTGGTGGTGTTGTTGGCGTGGGCGGGCGTGCTTTCGCCGGAGGAATGTTGGCGGGAGGGTTGGAAGCGGGTGGGGCGGTCGGAGTGATGCATGCTGAGGTTTGCGAGGCGGTGTTGGAGGGCAGCTGCGGAGGCGCCGCCGCCGGGTTGGTGGACGGCTGCGTCGAGCGACGTGAGGTCTTCGGCGGAGCCGCGCCGCGATTGCGCGTAGAAGGGCGTGTTGGCCCCGCTGTTCATCATGCTGTGGACGCCGCCGGGCGTCATGAAACCTGAGGGGTCGATGTCGTTGTAGAGCGAGTCGAGTTGGTGGAGCCCGTATGTCGGAGGCGCGTTTTGATTGACTTCGTCTTGGATGGCTTGGGCGTTTAGGATGTTTTGGTCTACGACTACGCTTTGGTCTTCGTTGGGGGGCAGGTTCGGCGAGATGAAGAGGTGGACGTGGTTTTTTACTAGCAGTTGTGAAGTGTGGCCTTCGGGGTTCTTGAGGTTGACGTATAAGCGCAGTTTGTGCGTTAGCCGTATGTTTTCTGTGTCGACGGATTGCCGGCAGTTCTTGAGCGACTTGGGTAGATCGAGCGTCATGGAAAAGCGATGCGACTCGTCGAATAGCGCGTCTGTGTCTTCTGTTCCGTCGGGGACCCTGCGCGCAGAGTCTTCGGGCATGTCGCCTTCTGTGACCGCAACCTGCATGTCGTTGTTGTGACTTATCCGGCGGCCAGCGTAGTCGGCGAACAATTGCCGCGATTCTATCAGCTCCATTTTGATTGTCGAAATCTCCACACCCTTGCGCAGGGGAATCAGCACGAAATCGGCCGTTATCGACGTTCCGACAATGTAGTTCTTCTGCGGGACCGTAATCTTATAGGCCAGCTTGTTCGCCCAGATATCCTCGTTGATCTGCTCCATGGGCATGGATTCGAGCATGTCGCGTCCGAGCGTGCGAATGACGCGGATGTGCGCCGTAGCACTGAGCTGCTTGCTCATGTACCCTCTATCCACGTGGGCCTTGAGACTATAAACCACCCAGTTGGTCGGTAGCCCCTCAACGCTCTGGTCGAGGTTCGGGGGCATCTTGAACTTGAAATCCCACTCATGGTATCCGGCGTTGAGCTTGTGCGCTTTGGTCTTGCTGCCGACGTCGACGGGAAAGAGGTGGAGTTCTTCGACGAGGAAGTTGGTCTTTTGCGTAATCGGCTGCGGGCTGACGGTGTTGGTCAAGTGCCATCTGCGCGGACGGTCAATTAGCAATGCAATCTTGGGCAAGTGTCGACAGGGGCGTTACCGTACGAGACTTTGCGTGTGCCCGTGAGTGTGATCCGCAAGCTCCTCACTGACATGGACTCTGGGTTGTTCAGAATCAACTTGCCCCTCAGCTCCGTCTCATGCGACTCAGACGACTCTCCATAGAATACGACAAAAGGCGACTCCGGCCTGGGAATGTGTTAGATATCGCCATGTTGAGGTTTGGCGGTGGTGGAAGCGTACTTGATCTCCAGGGTGGGCACGGCATGTCTGCCGAAGACCCCGACACCTGGACGAGGCATGATGTAACGAGGGTCGTGTTTTTATGAGTCGAACCAAACACCACCAAAGAGGTGTTTAGCGGTTTCTCGGTTGTAGAAATGTAATCAGCGACAATGTATCCTTCTACTTCTAGCAGGCGTAGGTGGTATAATATGCGAACGTGGACGGCGATGCAGTCAGCAAGCTGAGAGATGCTGATTCGAAGCGTGGGAGGAAGTAGACACAGAAAGCGCCGCACGTCACAGATATGCAACCAAAGTAAAGTAAGGGCAGGACTCTACTCAGCTGGCCGCGGCCGCGTGTAGGTACCGCGTTAGATATACCACATTAGCTGGCTGCGCGTGGGATAAAGCGGGCAAGGGCGGCCTGCACCCTGATGAGCTCATGGGCTGCAAGTGGAGACAAGACAAGTCCAGTAGGCCTGCTCGCATCATTGTAGTCGCCTGTCTAGCGCGGCTCCTGGGTTGCGCTCACGTCTTAGAATTTTCTGGCGCAATCATTAGGCGTCGCATTGGCAGGCCGGGGCTGGCAGCAGGGGCCGTCCCAAAGAAGGTCTTCCGATAAGAAGACACCGCGAACGGCGGCCATGGCGATAGCAGCGCGCCTGTGCAAGTAGCCTTCATAGACATTGATTACGCGCGTCCAGAGTAATTCATTGCGATGCAATCATGAATACCTCCGTCTTACAGCCTATCCAACAATCCCGCCGACAACACCCACTATTCCTCGTCCCTCGCTTGGAGTCACATCGCCGTCAAGCTCCTGCTCTAAGCCTAAGCTCTTCAGGGTTTTGCTTGCGGCTCTCCCGAAGTATCTCCACATGGTACCCAGCCTTCTAGCGCCAGTGCCTTTTCTAGGAGTACCTCTTACGCATAGCAGCTGCGATTGCGCCACACCTGGCATGGTTGCCGCCCATCTTGCAGCATCGGCCAACCTGCAGCTCAAATTCCGAAACGTGCGAATGCACCTCGCCGGTTCCAATCTTCGACGAATACTATCGTCGAGACTGACATTTCTGCCATCTGGTCGAACGAGGGTCGCCTGACGTGGAGGGATTGGGTGGAGGATGTGCGTGCATGTGTATTGCGTGTCGTTGCTCAATCAATGGAGGGGTATGGCTATCTAGGTTTGAGTTGCGGTGTTATTCGTGTGATGTGAACCATCGTTCCTACCTCCGTCTCACCCTGCCTCCATCTCGAGGTCTCAACTCAACGCATCGCCGATACAGCCACGCCCTCGCCGTCACAACTATGTTGACCGCCACGCTGAAACCCTGGTGGTAGCCACCAGCCTCTCCTACACTACGACCACTCACTCAACTCTTCCCCTACCTTAATCTCGGTCCGAGCATGCACGGCCACGAAAATCTGCGGCTAGACCTGCATTGCCGCAACTGTGGGTAATGCGAGCAGAGCCTCATCATAGCCATGTACATGTACGTACATTATACAGACCCACATTCAACTCGACAGAAGCGACTACAGATAATTCCCGCATCGCGGCACCGCGTGTATCCACTACTTAGTACTCCGACATCGTGAGCGCAATCGACATGGTCTAGTTAATTTAGTTACTACCGGCCGGAAACCCAGTGTTGACCCTCATGGCCGTGATTTTTGCCGTAAAGGGTGCATGGTGGAGATAAGGAAACTTGATTTTAGGTGACGCATATGTGTGTGCAGATGGATGTACTGGGTGTTCTAGAACAAAGTAAGCTTCTTCGCCCGCGCAGCATGCAAGGAAGACAGACGTGCATGTAGGGCTGAACGGGCGTCTGGCACATGTCAGACTGATGTCGGGATATATCGGAGGGAGGTTGGACCTCCTCCGATGGAACTCGTGTGGCGCGCCGTTTTCAGTGAGCCCATATTTTTGAAGAATACAGTCTGTAGGCTCAGCAGAAGTATACATTATCGTAGAGATCGTCTGCTTCCTAGACTGTAGTGGTGCGTATGCAGCAAAGTGCACATGAACGCTGGCTAGTGATCGGAGCGCACGAAAACCTCCGACCTCGACCTCGATCCCGCCACCACCACCACCAAAACCCAATCGCGCGATAACGTCTTATGCAGATCCAAATACCGCGTCCTATGCATGGTTCCCATTTGCACTTGCAGACGTACTGCTGTCGTCATTCCCAGCACCTTCTTTCGGTCGGTCCCAAGTCCGGATGTGGCCTGCAATACAAAGCTGTCAGCGATCCACTTCCTTATCTCTCAATTTTGCCCATCGCGAACTCAACAAATGCGTCGGCGCGGATCCCTGTGTGCCACTAAGACGGGTGTTCCTGCGCACGGCCACCTGTGCGCCTGTAGTAGAAACCCGGCCTTATCGCAGATCATACGTGCAAACGTGCGCGTAACGGGTGGATATGAGGTGATTTGAACGAAAACTTTGCTTCTGCTGCTGCTGGGACTCACCGTTCTTGCATGAGGTGAGGATGCAGTCCTCTTCGAAGCCTAGCCAGCACAGTGGGTGCTCGTGGACGGATTTTGCCTATGGGTATTGGCGGTTAGAAATTGATGTTGAGGTTTCAGGCCAAACTCACCAGCACTGGAGGTAGCATGGCCGTGCGTGCCCGAGGCTCCACGGGGTGCACCACTATTTCTTCCTCGTCCGCCATGCTGCCCGATGTGAGGTTGGAGTTCGATCGCAGCCTATTGACCGAACTTCCTCCCGTTTGTGTGCGCTGCATCTTGAGGTTCGACGAGGCGATGCTGCCGCGCTGTCGCACAGACGCCTGCATCAACGTTAGCCATCACAACTGTCGCGTTCAACGACTGCACTCACTGCTCGCGGTCTGTGCAGCATGCCGACACTGAAGTCCCACAGCAACAAGCGACAGTCCTCTCCTACGCTGCCAATACGGTAATTGCGCTCGTCGCATCGCCATGGATCGAACTGCACTGCTGTCACCCACGAATTGTGGCCTTGACAGCGCGCTACCAGCATGCTGTCCTCCAAAGACCATATCGAGACGAGATCGTCTTGCCCTCCCGTGACGACATAGCGACCGTCAGGCGACCAGCAGACGCACATCATGCCGCCGTAATAGCTCATGTAGTGGTGGAGCAGCTTCTCGCGAAGGAAATCCATGATCCTGAAGGACCCATCCTCGGACACAACCGCAAGATGACGTCGGTCGGGCGAAAATTCAAAGGCATTGACCTTTGACCTGGAGACTTGCCAGTAGGACACGGGGTTCGTTCTCTGGTTCTTCGAGTTGACAGACTTTTTCACGGTTAAGAGGTGCTTCAGCTTCTTCTCCTGATCCGTCAGCCCATTCTCGCTAGGAGATGTGACGGCCTCTTCTGGCACAAACACGGCGTCTTCCTTCTCCTTGTCATACACCACCAGACTGCCGTCCATGTGCGCCGCGAGGAAGAGATTCTCACTGTTCGGCAACCACCGTATATCCGACACGGCAGTCTTGTTGATGACACCGTTCTTGTTGATGCGCGCGTACTTTTGCGACATTGGCTCATACCATATTATGTCGCCTGTCGAGAAACCCATGATGATGTCAAGATGATTTGGGCCTTTTGTGATCTGGTTTATGTCGTGACATAGCGCGTGCGCTTTGGTGAAGAGGATCTTAGTCAGGTGTTCGTCTTTGGTAGGCGATGTCAAGTCCAGCCACTGGAATGCGCGGTTGATGTTTGCGAAAGCGTAGAGACCATTTGGGTTGTGTTCTTGCAATCGCTTGGTCAGCGCCTCGTGGGGAATGACTCTGGATACGAAGGACGAGTTGCTCTTAACAATGTTGCTCTTCGGTTTCCGCCTCTTAGTAGGATCCTTGGAGTCTTTGCCGTTGATGACTGCCAGCGCCGCGTTGCCTTCGCCAAACACGGGTGTCTTCAGCCCATCCAGCGGAGACGACACGATGCCATTGGCGCTGTATGAGCCACCATCGCTCGCCTGGCTGTTGGACTCGTGCGGCGACTCCTGTATGCTCGGGGGCACTTGCGACCGGGTGCTTGTCCGTGTGCCGAATCGGTGGAGTTGCGACTGCGAGGGCTGGCGGGGCGCGAGGGCGACCAGCGATAGCTTGGTGCCGGCGGTGGGAGGAGAGACTGTCGTTGCAAGCGGGTTCGGGTTGTGGATGGGGGCCTCTGAGGGATGCGGTGGGGGCGTAGCTAGGTGGAGGTCGTCGCGCAGCACGTAGGTACCTTTCATAGCGTCAGTGAGGGCAAGAGCTGCAGGGTCCAGGCTGGTTAATTACCTTCTCCGACGACCAGCTGGTGCTCGGGGCCGGTGGGGTGGGTGAGGGTGTTGTTGGTCTCGATAAGCTGGCCCGGCTGCGCGCCCGGGTAGCCTCCGACAGGATAGCGCGGCGGCGGAGGGAGGACGCTGTACACACATCAGTCGCGCGTCCGATGGGGGTGGAGCACGATAGGGCTGCCATTGGTGGGCGACTGGCGGTCAGCTGGAGATAGGACAGGTACTCACAACATAGCTGCTGCAGTGTAATCAGTTGCGGGCTAACTACGGCCTGGTGGAGTCGCGGTGCCTGGCTAGGAGTGACAGGGTAGAGTTAAGGGTAAGACATTAGCACCAGCAAGTACCGCGGCTATGGCATCGGCGTGTGAAGAGGCAGGATACGTCAATTTGGGCGCGCGCGGAGAAGGAAGCTTGTGGCCCGCGGCAGGCAGGCTGGGACTGGCATGGGAGCGCGGGCCATGGAACCATTGGGGAAGTGGAAAGCGGAGACGAGACGGGCGCCTTATGGCTCCGTGCACTGGGCAGTCTTATTAATTGCCTGCCATGCCGCTGGCCGTTGGTGGAGAGGACGAGGCATGACATGGGTCCGGCTATCTGCAGGGCCACTCGACAACGGTCGATGCATTGCACTTCCAGCGACCAATCTTGCGGGGCTGCTGGCGGGGAAGCTCCAGGGCTGCGATCGTCTCCCACGTGTGCCAAGCCTTCTGACAGCACTGGTGCTGCCCTGACCACGAATCGCCCGGAGTGCTATGAACGCTGCACAAGTCTGAATATTCTCACGGCAGGTCCGACCCAATTTCCCAACCTCACCCACTCCCTCATTACACCTGCCCAAATGCACCAATAATGCCGCCGGGAAATGGCGACCGGTATGTGGAGCTCCTTCCCGATAACACACTCACTAACATGCGCAGTACGGATCTGTCTTTGCGGTGACGATGGCGTCGGCAAGAGCTCCATCATCACGTCTCTTGTCAAGGACGTCTTCGTCACAGCCAAAATCCAGCCTGTCCTGCCACAGGTGACGCTCCCGCCCACGCTTGGGACGCCCGACAATGTCACCACCACCATCGTCGATACCTCCGCCCTCCCCCACGAACGACACACTCTCCGCACAGAGCTCCGAAAGTCGAACGTAATACTCCTCGTATACTCAGACCACTACAGCTATGAGCGGGTGGCGCTGTTCTGGATGCCCTACTTCCGCTCCCTGGGCGTCAACGTGCCAGTGGTGCTGTGCGCGAACAAGTCCGACATCGCCTCGAATGGCACAACATCCCAAGTCGTGTCGGAGGAAATGCTGCCCGTCATGAACGAGTTCAAGGAGATCGACTCCTGCATCCGCACCAGCGCCAAGGACCACCACAATATCAACGAGGTCTTCTTCCTCTGCCAAAAGGCCGTCACACACCCGATAGCGCCGCTATACGATTCCAAGGAGAACGCACTCAAGCCAGCAGCCGTGTCTGCACTGCAACGCGTCTTCCATCTATGCGACACAGACAAGGACGGGTACTGGAACGATCAGGAGATTCACGATTTCCAGATCAAGTGCTTCGAGAAACCGTTGGGGGACGACGACTTGATGAACATAAAGAGGTCGATGGAGCGCTTTGCTCCTGGTCTGACTGGCGAGCATGGCATGGACGAGAAGGGGTTCTTACTCCTGAACAAGATCTTCGCGGAGAAGGGGCGGCACGAGACTATCTGGATCATACTGCGGAAGTTCCACTACACCGACAGTCTCAGTCTCCAGGACACGTTCCTCCACCCCAAGTTCGACGTTCCTCAGTTCTCCTCCGCCGAACTCAGCCCGTCCGGCTACCGCTTCTTCGTCGATCTGTTCCTGAAGTTTGACATGGACAATGACGGAGGACTGAACGACAGAGAACTCGCGAATCTATTCGCACCGACCCCCGGCATGCCGACATCGTGGGTGGACTCGTCGTTCCCATCATGTACAGTGCGCAACGAAGCGGGATACATTACACTACAAGGCTGGCTCGCGCAATGGAGCATGACCACGTTTGAAGAGCCAAAGACGACTCTGGCATACCTGGCATACCTTGGATTTGAGAGCGGTGAGCGCGGAGGCACAACCAGCGCACTCAAGGTGACCAAAGCTAGGAAGCGGCGGAAGAAGCCTGGCCGCGTCGAGCGCAACGTCTTTCTATGCTATGTCATAGGGTCGAGCGGGAGTGGAAAGAGCTCATTGCTGTCTGCCTTCCTCCAGCGACCGTTCAGCCACACCTACCATCCCACGATAAAGCCTCGTTCGGCAGTCAACAGCGTGGAATTAAAAGGTGGCAAGCAATGCTATCTGATCCTAGAGGAGCTCGGTGAACTCGAACCCGCGATTTTAGAGAATCAGGCCAAGCTAGACGCGTGCGATCTGTTGTGTTATACCTACGACTCGAGCGACCCCACGAGCTTTGCGCATGTTGTCGAGCTGCGGAAGAAGTACCCCCATCTCGACCAACTACCAGCGGTCTACACAGCCCTGAAAGCAGACCAGGACAAGACGATGCAGCGATGCGAGCAGCAACCCGACGAGTACACCAGCGCCCTGAGAATGGCACCGCCACTGCACGTCAGCACGACGTGGAACAGCATATCGGAGCTGTTTGTTCACGTACGTACTACATCCATTGATTAATTCCACGAGCTAACACCGTATAGCTGGCTGAAAGCGCCACCCACCCCTCGACCGCCTTCCCCAAGCAGGAAGAGGACGGCTACGATTATCTCAATCTTTACCTAGCGCTCGGAGCCGTCACGTGCGCAGTGGCCTCGGCGATGTTTGTCTGGAGACGCAGCAGCGCATCGACCTGAGACCTGAGACCACGCCAATCTAAGAAAAAGCTGAACAGCCTAGAGCCTACATTGGCGCTGGGTCACCGCCTTTGCAAGGTTTTGGCTTAATGTAGCCTACAGACCTGTTCAGTTTTTTTCTTGTATTGAGGTGAGACCAGGGGCCAGGCATGAATGTGAATCTTTGCTTCTTGTATATACCATGGCAGCACACCACTTCCACCCCTATAGACAAACTACTCGCAATAGGAAAAATCCCAAGCGTCGGAGATGATGGCAATGCAGCAGTCACGATAATGGCAGCGCGGAGGGTCAGCGCTTAAGCATGACATCACCTTGGCGTGCGGCTACGTTGTACAACAGACCAGTCTCAGCGGCACGAGCGAATAGCCAGACGCAGGGACATTTACCCCTGGCGCTTCGACCTGACGGGGAGTAGCGCCAATATGTGGATAGATGATATCGGTGAGTTAGCATGGGATCACGATGTTGGGCTGGGAGCGAGGGAGGGTGACAGCTCGCTTGACAGTGGTGTGGGCTAGCGACATGCTTCATGGTGCACTTCCGTGACTTAGTCCGGGGATCTGCGAGTAGTCTGAGACGAGACGGCTATTCTTGTCTCTCGCACGCATCACATTCGGTGACAACGTGAACACCCGCGTGCTGCCGAAACCGTGAAAACTCCAGTAGGGGTTCTTTTTGGGTGTAGACGTTGAAACGGTCTAGTTGTTTTTGAGCAAGACCCTGGATGCGGCATCGATGTCGCCCGGCTGGGTAAGGCGGACATGGATTGGCTGTCTGGCGGGTTGAGGGCGGCTGCTGGCTACCTACACTCGGCTTGTGGTGATGCCCCCCTGTGTGGCGGAGCAGCTGGAGGGCGCCGAGTCGTGCATCTTGGGCGGCGCGCTCCAGGCTAGTGACATTGCAGTTAGTTGCGGTGCTGGACAGGACATGTGCATCACGGCGCGAATGTGTACCTCTACTATTTCTCCCTGAGACCATGGTGCTTGATACTCCTTCGCCGCAGCACCAACACGCCCGACCCGTCCGCCTCGCAAACCTTGGGCCCTTGGATGCCCGCACCGCCTCGGCGCCCTAAGCAAGCCGTGGCAATCGTGCTAACCCGCACCTCCGCACTCTCTGAGGTTCGCAAATGGTGAGTAGCGCATGTCTACCTAGTAGCCTCAGGCAAACATCTACCAAATACTGTGGTGACAGTTGAGGTCGCCATTGTTTCGTTTCCCTATTCCCCGGCAAAGGCCCGCGGCGCCAACCCGACGTTCCAAGGAGCCCCCAAGCTGACCAAGTCTCGTACCCCACAGGCAACCGACAGAGCCAGAGAGCTGGACCGCCTATATCAGATGCGAAACCCAGGCCCGCGCCGGGGGCATGCGCCGCAGATATCCATCAGCGATGACAGCCACCACGTCACCGAGGCCATAGGCGACATGTACGGCGGCGACAGCGACACCGACGCCCCCAACCGCCGCAGCCTGCGACCCCTAAGCTTCGTCCCCAGCCCCAACGGCGACTCGATCCAGTCCTTTGGCGCCTTCGAGGCCTTCGACCCCTTCCCCAACGCGCCCCCCGCGAGGTCCCCGCTGCGTCCCCAGATGTCCTTCGAGAAGCCCCAAACGCCCACGAGCCCCAATGGCACCGCCAACATGGCCCAGAAGCGGGCGTCGGTCCAACGGCACCCCTCGAATGGCGGCCAGATTTCCCCTCCGCTGTCCCGCTCGAACTCGAACACGGCGTCGCACCAGTTCCCGCTGAACAACCTCGACTACGAGAACAGCCCGGCGGGCCTCGCCCAGGAACTGAGCAACCTGCAGGCGATACGGAGGATGTCCATGGGCGTTAACAATGCCGATCCCGATCTGCCTTCGTTCCAGTCCGCAAACTCACCGCCCTCCCCACCGGCCATGTCGGAGGAGGACGAGTCGAAACTCTTCTGGGTACCCGCACGCCTGCATCCCGAACTGGCGCCCATGGAGTTCAAGACGTTCATCGAAGACAAGATTGACAGGACGAGACGACGCTCCGGAGACTCAGACTCGCTATCTCCGGATGGCGCCATGGGGCGTCAGGGCTCGGGGGGAGGGCTGCGGCGGAAGAAGTCCATGCTGTCCAGGCAGATTGATACTGGCTCTGGCTACAAGGACGGCGCCGAGAGGCTGGAGAGGAAGCGATCCGGCGCGCAGCCCAACGGGGGCTTGTCGAACCTCCAGGAGCTCGAGCACATACAGGAGGACCCGGTGGCCTTGATAAGACGGATGAGCATCGATCAAAAGGGCATGACCGGGGAAGGGGAAGAGGGCGCCGACGGTATGCCCATTGTGCCGGGTAGCAAGATGCGTGGTCTGGGCACGCTCAAGAGATCAACACACACTACGTACAGACGAGGCAGTCTGCGGAAAGGCGGCCCGCCCCTCTCACGGCGACTCGTCTCTGGCCGACAAGGAGACACAGACACGGAAGATTCCCCGTCCACCTCGCCCGTCCACTCTACCGAGAGCATACCCGAAGTCCCTCCTCTCCCAGGTCTCAACCGCGTTCAGTCGGAACCCGTTAACTCGGCGTTTGAAGGATCGTCCAACAACTTCTCGCGACCTGGGGCAAAGCGGGCATCTCCCAGCTATGGCGGCGAGAGACCAGGTTCATCTGAAGAATACCCCAGGTCAGCTTCTACTGAGCCGATATCCCAACAGGAGCGAAGTTCGCCGCAGCCCAGGCAGTTCCACTCGAGAATCGCCTCCAACGGCCGGACGACTGCACCTTTGCCAGGCTATACACCTCCGCCGCAGCAGGTACCCCAGATTATCGAGACACCACCGCCACAAGAACAGAACCGAACACCTCAGTTTCAGCTACCCGAACGTCACTCCTCCCGCCAACCTCCGCCTCAAGCCCAGCAACAACCTGCAGGCCCTCGCCATTATCCTCAGCCTCAACAACAAGCTCCGCAACAACAGCGCCAGCCCCAGTCGTCGAGTCGACCGAACCGTCATGCACAAGCTGCTCAGTCGTCCCCGATCAAACCCGCTCAGTCCTTCGATGATCTAGTAGCGCATCCTTCAGCGATGCCCGGCCAGAACAACAGGGTCGATTCGTTATCCATAATCCCGAACGCACCAGAAGAGAAGAAGCTCGAACCGAAGGCCAAAGATAAGAAGGACAAGGATGGCTCTGAAGGCGGCCAAAGGAAGACGAGCTGGGGCTGGTTTGGCGGTGATAAAGAGAAGGAAAAAGACAAGAAGTCAAAAGACAAAGACTCAGAAAAAGAAACACCGAAGAAGGTCAAGAACAAGCTCAGCAAGTCCCAGGAGAAGGAGAAGGACAAGGGCCACGATGACACGAGACTGGACCTCCTGCAGACATCGATACAGGGCGGCGGTCGTGGTCGAGAGAGCGTAGTGCTCGATCGCGAAAGCGTCAAGCTGGAAGAAGAGCGAAAGAAGGAGAGCGCCAGAAAAACATCCAGCGAAGGCAAGAAAGAGAAGGAGCCTGGACTACTGTCCTCCATCTTCGGAGGAGGAAAGAAGAAGGGCGAGAAAGAGTCGTCTCACAAGAAGAACGCCTCACGTGGATTATCGCCCGAGCCCCCGCCACGCATCCTGAAACCCGATATCGACTACAACTGGACCCGATTTTCGATCCTAGAAGAGCGCGCGATATACCGCATGGCCCACATCAAGCTTGCGAACCCCCGCCGCGAACTCTACTCCCAAGTCTTGCTTTCCAACTTCATGTACTCGTACCTCGCCAAGGTCCAGCAAATGCACCCGCAAATCTCCATCGGCAACTCCAAGCAAGCAAAGCAAGCTCAACAGGCCCAGCAACAGCAACAAGCCGCGCAGCAGAAGAAGGAGCAGCAGCAGCAGCAACATCAGCAGCAGGCCGCTCAGCAATCTCAGCAGCAGGTACCGCAGCAGCAGCAACCGCAGCAGCAACAGCAACAGTCGCAGCCTGAGGAGTTTGCTCAGTATCAGCGGTACCAGCAGGTGAGACATCCCAAAGGCAAAAATGTTTAGAAGAATGAAACTAATGTAGAATATAGCAGCAACAACAGCACGAGCAGCAATCCTCCGAAAAATCCTCACAAGAATGGCCCTCTGTACACCAACAACAAGCCAACGGCGGCCTCTCACAACAACAAAACGGCCAACAACAGCAATATCAACAACAACAACAACATGCAAGAGGCGGCTCTCAACAGGGTAATTCTTACAACCAGAACCCGCGTGATTCGCATCATTCGAATCATAGTGCGAATGGTGGCGGTGGTGGAGGTGGTGGTGGTGGATATAGTGTAGCGAATACGCAGAATTATCTGGGGCAGAGTGGTAAAGGGGGTGGGATTGGGGGTGGTGGGGGAGGGGGAGGAGGGTATAGTAATTATAGCGATGAGGAGGGGGGGAAGAGGGGGGATGATGATATGTGGTAGTTGAAGTCATGGATCGGACGGACGTTTAATTCATATAAAGCGGGAATGAGGAGGGCGAGTATGGAGATTTTAGCCCGCCGACTTTTTGGCCTTGAACTACGTCTTCTTCTCCTTTTTTCTCCTGTCTTTTGAAGTTCGCATTGTATATTTATTGGGATCTAATTTTGATGGGAATGGGAGGCGTGTGGGGGTTTCATTGAGGGTGGGATGGGGATAGAGAGACGGATGAATACTGATGGGAGACTAGATGGATGGGTTGACGTGGAATGGGAAGGGATTACAGATAATGTAATTTTTGAAGCTTGTAACTGTCTACATTTCATACGACGAGGTAGCGCCAGGCCGCTCTCTCTTCTGTTCTTACCATACGGGTTGTTTCTTCTACCGACCTGGCTCTTCCAGCGCGTTCAGGAAAGGAGGGATAAAGGAAGATGTTTGCGCGGATACAAACTTGGAAGGAGATGGAGCAACGGGTGGGTGTTTATCTAGGGGGGAGGCGTGAGTTGGAGCTGTTTACCTATCTTACCATTGACCCATCACATCACAGTCAGCAACAACATCGATCATACCGACTTCAGAATGGCAAGAACGAAACGAACACAACCCGGCAAGAAGCATCGAGACGACGATCAGCAGTCCAAAGAACCACCCGTCACGCCAGCTCCGTCCGATGCGAACCTAGGGTCAGCTTCAGGCGAAGTGTCAGACGTGCCCTCAAACTTAGACCAAGAGTTGGAGGATGACCTTTGGGGTTTTCTTGATGAAGAGGTTAGAGCAGAAAAGCAGGGGGATGAGGAAGTGGGTGGAGAGGGGGAGGGTGTTGAAGAGACACCGGAGCAAGTCGTCGACGATATGGACATTGACCGAAACGGCGACGACGATGAAAAAGAAGAGACCGAAGAAGAACTACTCGACCAGATCAAGAAGAACTGGGGTATTACCAGCCTACGGAGTATCATGGAGCTGGGGCTCGACACGGTTAAGGACAAACAGCTCAAAGATACGTGGCTCTCCGGTGAAACCGACCTCGCAGACGAAGAATGGGATAAGATTACCCTACGCCTTTTCCGAGACCTATCGCGATTAACACGGAACAACTTCGACAAAGCAAGGTCAATACTGGGCGAGTGGCTCCGTTACAGAAAGCATGATAAGGACGGAAAGAGAACAGGATCGAAGAGGGTCACCCACAAAGAGCCCAAGTTGCGCAACGATCTGAGGGGCATCATCTATGATTTGCAGACGACGAAAGAGAAGGCACAGAAAAAGAAGGGTAAAGATCAGGGTAAACCCATGAAGAAGAAGGCGAAGACTGATGACTCCTCCGATGTGGATCTCGATGACGGCTTGTATCATCTGGAAGTAGAGCCACCTCTCGAAAAGGGGAAGAAGGCATCCGAGAAAAAGGGCAGCAGCAAGACACCAGGCGGTAATAGTGCAAATCGTTCGAAATCACGACAAGATAGCGGAGATGACTCTGACTCAAGCCCCAGTGAGGTTCCTCCGAAAGACCCCCGCAAAGAGAAGAGCGCAGAGGCCGGTGTGAAAGTGAAGAAGAAGCCAGCTCAATCGAAGCAGAACGAAAAGGCAAAACCAAAAGCTGCTGAGGCAGAAGCCGCCAGCAACGAAAGCCTTGCGAACGAGCCTCCACCGGTCACCATAATACAAAACGACGAGGAGAGAAACGCCGCACTCCAATACATCTACATCAACTGGCGCACCACCTCGCTTCTCCATGTCCTTCCAGGTGCTCTGCACCCAGTAGAAGCGACCAAGGATCAAAACTTGGCTTATGAGATCGTCGCGGCTCTGCGCAATCTCTCTAATGTCATTCGTACGCCAGATGAACTTGCTGCCTTCAGACAAGATCTGGAAGATCAGGTGGCGGGAGATACTTCATACACTAACGAAGACATTGTGGCTCACATTATGAGAGTGGGCGAGCCTTACTACCACGCAGCGCGAGCAGCTGGCGCGATTCCAAGGCCATCAGCTGTTCAGAGCGCTGCTGGCCAGCCACAGACAGAGGGACCAACTTCACGGGGACCAACTACACGCAGGTCGCCGCGTAACCACAACACTTCCGCAATCCCTCCAGCGGGTGGTCAGCAAGCTGCTGCTGCTCCAGCCTTAGATTTATTAGCAGCAGCAGCGGCTGGCAGACTTAGAGAAACTGTGACAACACCGCAGCCTCCACGGCCTATTGCCCCCAGAACACCCCAGCCTGCACCAGGAGCATCAGCGGCTACCCAAGACGAAACCGTGGCTAAATCCAACAACGGGAACGAAGGTACAGCTCAAGGGTCTGAGCAGCCCACCTCGCAAGAAGCAGCTGGTTCTATGGACGCGAGTGGTCAGTCATCAACCGCGAACAACACGCAAGGCCAAGCTCAACCACCGCGACCTCCAATGCAGCCAGCTGATCTTCAGTCCTCGCGCTTTACTCCGGCTGTACCAGACAACGACACAACATTCAGATTAGTATCAGCTCTGAGCAGAGTGCGCAACTCCGAGGCGGACGTGAGAGTAGCGCAGATCCAGCGTGACATTGCTGCTCTCCAAGGACAATCCGCATATGCTCAAGCAAATGCCTCTCTTGAAGTCGCGTTGAAGGAACGACAACGTGCAGAAGCAGAGATGGAGGCGAATAGCTTCCAGGGATATAGAGAGGGGATGCAGACGCGAGAGGAGGTTGTCAGGCAGCGTGAGGAGGAGCTCCGGCGGATACGTCGGGGAGATGTTGGGGTTGCAGAAGAGGGTGGAGAAGGTGAAGAGGATGGAGAGTCGCGCCAAAAGACCAAAAGGCGAAAGATAGGAGACGGTGGCAAGAGTGGGGACGAAGGAGACATGAGTGATGAAGGCAACGTGGACGGAGGAGCAAGGTAGAGTAGAGTAGCAGAAGGGTCTACTTTCAGTGTCTACCAAGATAATCTCATGTCGCACTCTTTTTATCGTAGAAGTATGACTTCATCAAGTCGTTCAATCATCAATAGATGTGATCAAAGTCTGTAAAGACTCAACCAGATTCGTAAGTATGTTCAGAAGGTACAGTGGGCTATCCTTGCCTGTTCAATGTGGCCGGCCAGCAACGTCTCCAGTATGACGACGCACATTTAAGATACGATTGTTTGGATCGTAGATTGTTGTAAGAGAAAGCATTAATGGCCAGTGATCATGCGGACGGGAAAGATCAAAGAGTGTATTTGTTCAGATGCAAACATGAGCATCAAAGGAGGGGGGGAATGAATATAGAGGAGCTATCGAACCTTTTACTTCACTAAACGCAGTCTCGATTACATTGACCTGAGACACATTCACCGACAGTCGTTCAAATCATGCCGCCAAAAGGAAAAGAGAAAGCTACCTCGCCGTCACTTGACGAAACGCTTGGGGAGATGGATGATGTGGGAACGGGTGACGACAGCGCTGAACTTAGGGCCAGTCAGGATGCGGCACTAGCTTTGGCGATGCAGCGAAAAGAGTATGGCGATCTTGAGCAAGTTCGGGAAGATCATAACGCTGAGTCCGAAGGAATGGAAGATGACTCTGATGACTCACTCAACGAATTGTTTAGAGACTCGCTCAACGACCCGCCTGATGATGTAGGTGATGAAGAACAGCCCGACGACGCCCCAATCGATTCCGAAAATGATGCAGAGGAGCCAGCGCCTGCCGAACCCCCACCTCCCGTCCTGACGGCTGCTGAACAACAAGCGCAAGATCGGGAACGAGCAGATGCGATCGTCGATATAGGCCAAAACTGGGGTCCAGACTTTGCCACGATGGGAAACTGGATAGCAGACAACAACTGGCTCCAGGGTAAAACAGACAATCTGACAGAACAGAACTGTGAGATCGACACAATACGCGAGTTCCGACACTTGTCGGAGTTGACGAAGGGTCAAGGTCGAGAGATAATACACCAAATTGAGCAGTTTTACCTGATACGGTGGACCAAAGGACGCGAACGGCCTATAGGCAAATACTGGCACGAGAAACAGGTGAGCTTGCGCGAGGATTTGAGAAGACTGCGTGAAGGGGAGTGGGTGAAGCCAGAGAATGAGAAAAAGCCAAAGAAACGTAAGGGGAAAGCTGCGCGGAAGACGACACCCCGGAAGAGAGCGAAGACTAAGGCTAGCCGTCAAGAACCAGTTGATGAAGATGATGAGGACACTTCCGACTCATCTCCGGATGAAATACCAGCGAAGGAACCAATCAAGAAGAAAGGTGGTAAGGGAAAGGGAAAGAAGGCGAACGATGCAGAAACGACCGACAAGAACGGAATTCCCATTACCAGTATAACATCGGAAGCACAGAGAGACGCTGCACTCCGACGCATATATCATAACTGGCAGATAAGCTCGCTGCACGGACACTTCCACTCGAGGCTGCACGAAGACGATGTTAGCGACGACGAGCATATTGAATGGAGCGTCATCGAGCTGCTTCGCGACCTGTCAGAAGTTAGTGCTACCCACGCGCAGGGTGAAGAGATCAGAGAGGATCTCGAAGCACATCTGAGAGAGATGAACGAGTATGACCTGGCGTCTCTCCATCGTAGGATAACAATCACTGGTCAGGACTATCATACTGCGGCAGAGAGAAGAGCAAAGGAAGAAAAGGCAAGACGACGTCAGGAAGCGGCCGAAGAAAAACGCCAAAGGCTAGCTGCAGCGAACAACAAGGACAATGGCGAAGGACCAGCAGCTGAAGCTGAAGATGAAGATGCTGAAAAGCGGCCAGCCAACGTTGCTGTAGCCCCAGCGCCAGTCGGCACGAGATCAAACCGAGCTCAAAGTCAGCGAACCACCTCGCGCAGAACTAGAGCGAGTGTCGCAGCCGAAGCTCGTGAAAGGGCTCAATTAGCAGGAAACAACTCTTCACAGTCACTGGTAGTCAAGCTGAAAGTACCTCCTGGCGCACTTCGAACAGATGGGCCCTCAGCTGGCGACGCATCAAGCGCCGCTCAGTCGGGCAGCAAAGCAAAGGCCGCGACTAGGGATCGCTCGGCGTCTGCAGCTCAGCAGGAAGGAGGCGAAGTTGCTGATCCGGATGATCTCGAGACACCAGCTCCTCCCCCAGATGAGCAACAAGCTGAACAGGCAAATTCATTACTAGAGCAACAGCGGGAGCAACGGGTACCTTCGCCAACTCCAGCATCACCCAACATCCAACAAGACGAGCCCGAGCCCGTCCTCGCAAATGACTCAGCGCCGCCAGAGCCCCAGCCAGGCCCCCAAGCACCACCGTCCCCAGCGCACGTTGAATATCAACAGCCCCTACACCCCCGCTACACCACACGTACCGAGGCTGAATCATTCGCACTGCGACTAGCCTGGGACGAAGTATCCACCGAAGAAACGAGACTCGGGGTATTGCGAGCTCGACGTGTGGTAGCTGCTCTTCAGAACGAAGATGGGCTACAGCAAGACATCCTAAGACTAAATGTTACTGAGCAGGAACATCGTCTTTCTCTGGCATACGGGAGAGCGATGCGTCTCGGAAGACCGCAGAGAGTGGGTGAGACGGTTGGGCTGGGTGAGGAGGAGCGCACGCAGAGACGGAGTGGTGATGGCGGAGATGTAGTAGAAGAGCGAGAGCAGAACCGGGAAGGGGGAGCTGGAGAGGGTGGAGATCACGAATCGGGCGCTAGGGAAGGAGAGGGTGATGGAGAAGGTGACGAGTATGGAGGAGAAGACAGGTCTATTCCTACCGGTTCACGCAGGTCGTAGACAGCGTCACTCCTTATCTCATACTCCACAGATCATGTTAGCAAGTCATTTTGGATAGACGAAGTGCTTTGATAGCGTGTCTGTCGTCATACATGAAAGTTAGCTCGACAGCTAGTCGTCAGTCAACGCCGCCAGAAATGAACCATGACGACAATACTCATGCTATGCAACTGCTTCGCTTGACAATTGGTCCGCGCGTTCGTAGACCAGAGAATCCTTCCTGCAAACAGTGTTCCTCGTCCACCAACTTCGCAAGCTTCACATATCGTATCGTATCCGGAACAAGGCTACAGCCACGGATGTACAACCACCAGACTAGTGACGCGAAACGCCTGCCATATCTACGTCCTCCATATCTGCCGAAACCGGTGTGGGTATGCCGCCGGAAGCACTGGAGCGACGAGTGTGCGAGCCACCGTTGGTTGCGGCAGAAGACTTGGCGGTACCGTACTTCTTTTTCTGGAGGTCGCGCAGAATCTCTTGGCCTTTGAGCAATGAGTCACGCTGACCGCTGAGCTCTTTGCGTAGATTGAAACGGTGTGGGGATTCGGAGAGGAGGCGAACGGCGTTGTCGTAGGCTGTGTTGTGGAAGTCAGTATAATGCTCACGTAGTGTGAGAGAATGAGGCCTACCTTGGCTGCCGTCGTTCATGCCCAGCCCACCCTCAAGTTCATCGCGAAGTTGGGTGCGAAGCTGTTTGAAGAACTTCGATTCGATCCTCATACACACAGCGTCGTGGAAGCGGCGGGCTGCTAGCATGTAGTAGGTGGTGACCTGCGCCACAACTCCGAGCTCGACGACGTAGGGCTCATGGTTCAACACCGCCATGACCCTGGCGTCCTTCCTCATCCTATCTTCTTCTTGCGGGGTAGTCTCCTTCCCTGTACGCTTCAATCTATCGCGCTTGTAGATATTGAGACGGGCCTTGAACCGAGCTTGACGATAGTGTTCTAGTACCGCTTCCTTCTCAATCTCGAACATCTCGTCGTGAAAGATGAAAGGGCCTTCCTTCTCGTCGTTTAGACTCTCGTTGGCCATGGTGCTGCGCTGCTCAGTAAAGTTCAAGCTGACCATTTGTTCAACGATCTCCCAAGCAGTGCGCCAGAAGATCGATCCCTGGTACTTGGAAAAGTGCTTGTGGAACACGACCTTGATTTGATCGACGATCTGACCTTCGAGCGTGTTGAAGAACTCGTGAAGCGGTTGCGACCAATGTTCGAGCGTCTCGAGCATCATGTTATCGACGACGCGCGGTTCGATCTGCCCGGGCACTTTGCTCTGGGAGTTCTCCGCTAAATGTTGCGTGACTTGATCAAGGAGGAACTTCTTCCTGAGCTCGCTGAAGTCCGTGCTTGGCATTGCTGTTTTGCCTTCGGGGGTCTTTGGGGGACCGCGGCGGCTGGGAGTCTTAGCTGGTGAGGGACCTGGAGTATCGCCGAGCTTGCGCTTCTTTGTAGGCGTCTCGGGGTTGCTGGACATCGGTGTATCGCGATCCCCGTCATCCGCGTAGTCCTCATCATCATCATCGTCGTCGTCTACAGCGATAGCTTTACTAGCGGAGCTGCCAGGCTGAACTCCTAGGACGTCCATGTAGACGGTCGCGTCTCTGCTTCCGCGTGTTGACATCGTGGGCTTCATGCTAGCCAGTGCATCGAAGAACCCCTTCTGCAGTGTCTTCCAGTTGTTGCGCCACGCTTTGCAAGGAAATTAGGCCTCCAACTCCCTGCGCACGTTGTGTGAGAAGTCGAGTACAACATCCGAGATGATTCTAGGGGCGTTGTGCGTAGGAGGATCCGGAAATTCTCGAAGTTCGGCTAGGACCTGTTCCAGTCTGACATTGATCTCCTGGTCAATGATGGGAAGCTTTTTCGTCATCTCTTCAGCAAGCTTGCAGGAAAGGAAGCTTTGCAGGTTCAGTGTACCAAGTCGGTGTTGATAGTGGCTGAACTCAGTTGACCAGGGTGTTCCTTGACTGAAAAATTGGTGCTCTTTGAGCCGAGCTTGCGTATGGGTCAGGCCGCGCCCCATCTCAACCTGGTTCAGATTCTTTACGACGAAGTAGCCATGCCCCAATGCAAAGCGTTTCTCGTCAAAAACCTCCATGAGCTTGTCGTGACGGGATCCTTCGGGTATAAGATCTGGCTTGGTGAGCACACCTAAACTCGTTAGCAATATGTCTATCATGAGAAGCGAGAATATTTACCAATGCACCGTTCTGTAGCGTTCAACCTCCGCGCAATGCCACCTGCAGACGAGTTGGCGATGTCGGTGTCTAACGAGCAGGTCACAAGAATGAGAGATTCTTCGTTTTTGACATAGTCCATCACAAGGTTGCGAACGAAATCTACCAGGAACTCCTTGTCTTGTGTCTCCGCTTGATTGATAATACCTGGCAAGTCGTAGAAGCTGAGCGACGGTAGGGTTGGATGAGAAATAGAAATGCAGACGACGTTGGGGCTGAAATCGCAGTGCGGCTTCTCTCGGAGCGCGGCAACGGTCGATCCTAGGAAGTCCGTAAATTCCATCATAGGATTGATGATCGCCAGTTGAGCGCGGGCGATGATTTCCTCGAGTTCATTACGGTCTTTTGTACTCGCGAAGTGTACAATGTTTGGCCGAAGCAGCTCAACCCAACGATTTACTCCGTAGGATCGCGCGCCTGACTGACCCACCAACACGGCACAACGACGTATAGATATCCATGTGCAACACGCGTCGCGCAGATCCTCATACCAACAGGAAGTCCCATCAAACCGCAACGAGCGATGGGAATGACATATCGTAAAGACTGGAGACACCCATCAACAAGATGAGCACCGAGGGAAGCCATAGATACAAGGTCGCAGTAGGCGCAGCGGCGAGATGACGAATGTCAACAAGAAGAGTCGGGATTATTTCGCGACGCGCATACTGTACTAAAAAAAAGATAGACAGCCCCACACCAACTGGCAGCTCGCACTCGGACGCTCGCGCCACACTACGTCCCAGCACACAGCGCTCCAGCACACGACCTGACGATAGCACGCACGACCGCCACACGTGATTGCACCCAGACCAGATACATGTTTACAATAAAGAGCGACAGAGCCTTGAACGACAGAACACAACAAAAGCCACATACTCGATGCAAAAGAACCGATGTAGAAGTAGCAGCCCAACAGCCGCGACGCTGCTAGTACCACATCGATAACGTGTCAACACCAAACGTAGCCCTTGTACGACCGGACATAACCAAGAAACAAGTCGCGTGACCTCCTATGTCATGCGCCACAACCCAAAGAAGGACACCATGCCCAGAAACCATGACTCGAGCGTACCAACACGAAGACCGAGACGAACACAAGATGATACCGCGGGGTCCCATAGACCAAGTACCAAGACGCGAAAGGTACACCTAGGCACTATACGAATAACAAGTTAGGTCGGAATCAGCGCGGGACAGGAAGAATCTTACCATTAAAGTTTCGATTTAAGGCAGAACGAACCGTTCCGACGAAGCGTGGCAGATCTTCGTGCTTCTAGTGGAACTGCATTGCCGTCCGAGGACATGGGACGCTCTTCCTTCGCCATATATGTTGTCATATAGTAAGCCAGAAGCGCATTGGGTTCCATAACCAAAAGTAGGGTGATAGGTAGCTACACGTGCAGATGTACCCAAAGGCCGACAACGACGAACGAGAGGGGTTGTTACGAAAACGAAGTGAGAGCACGCTCAAGATGAAGCGCATAGAAGGCAGAAGAACGACCCGTCTTTATATGCCAATAAACCCCTAGCTAGCCCCAATACGACCTAGCCTCTTGTACCCGCTACTCCACACAACACAACACAGACAGCCAATCCGACCAAAACTGTCCCGAGGGACCGCCCAGTATTATCCAGACGACTGATGCGCCCCACACGTATAGACACACGAAACGAGACTCCAAACCACCACAACGGCCCAAGCAAGTACCTGCAAGCGCGAAACTTCGATACAACCATTAAATCATCGCATACACACAACCATGCACACCCAACGCACCCATATAGCAAGGCATTTCCAGCTGATATTGGAAACGACAAGCGGACCGTACAAAGACTCCCCACAAACACCGATCTGCCGCTCCTGCTATGGATAGCGGTGACACAACACTACCTAGGTAGCGCACCACAAGGAAGTTCGCCCCCCGAGATCAGACAAAACCCACAACGTGCAACGCTCGACATCATCAGCAACGCTCGACACCATCAGCAACACAGCGACAACGCCAAATTGCAGTCGACGCGCCGTCCGCACGATTCCCACACCAGTACCGAACGAGACTTCATTTGTCACGGCACCGCGCCACCGCAATACAGAACGACATGGAACATACCCTGGTGTACCCGCATGCCCTACAACCTCGCCGACCGATAACCACACCGATACAAAGAGCCTGCGACATCCATACCAGTCAGAATACCGCGTAGACATCATCAAACGCCCCGCATACGTCACGATCACGCCGACCCACACATCGTTCAATCCACGAACAGCAACCTCGCGCGTTAGGTTTCGACCGAGGCAAGCCACGCGCTCCACGACCAGACACCATCAGATGATAATTTGGACCAAGGCCACAAACCTGATCACCTGTACATGGTTCCTCTTCGCCAGATGTTATACCTCTGAAGGATAGTGTGAAGAGTGTCAATGAGAGCGCAGCGTCGCATCCTTACTGCCACGCAAACGCTCATGCATGCGACTCAATTCACGCCCAAAAGTGAGCCACCCTCTACCCAGTGACTACTATCCCCGCATATTTTAGCAGACCTAACTAAAGAAGAGCCAGCTTTTTCTGCCATCACGAAGTGGGTCACCTGTAACACCTGTCCTCGAGCATAAGACCTCGGTAATGCCGTACCCACATGGCGATTCGCACGACATGAGATTGAACAACACATATCTCCGATCGAGAGAACAGCACCAGACACACAAGAATTAGAGTACACCCCCACCAGTTCCACAGAGTCCACATACGTCTATCGTCCTGGCGCGCCTCGACATTGTCTTAGCCCAGCGTAACACAATGGTATCGGAGACGCCCACCATCGCAACCCTCCCGTCTCGCGCGATATCCTCAACATCACGGTCAAGTGGTTACCCCGGTCGCGATGGTACACCATGAAGCGTAGCATACTCACGTCTCTGATGCGGCTTATACCGCCCTCAACAACCATAAGTCACCAGAACCCCGAATAAAGCTCACCACCAACATCGTCGCTAGAGCTTCTGTCCAACACTACGCCCCACCCATGTGCATGTCTGCCAACAGTCACTGCTTCCCAGAACGACTCTTGCACACTACAACGCGCAATGCAGCTGATAAAACCGACACGTCCCCATGCGGCGGCCTCCAACAGTGAGTCACACTCGCAGAATCCGTCCACCCTGCTCGGAACAGACGACGTGACATATCGCCACCAGCCGCTAGACGGTGCCACACCGATCTATCCAAGACGCGTCCTGTCACTAGCTCGCACCTGAACACCCGCACGTTTCGCAGTCGCCCCTCCGTCCTCCCGTCACATAGCGAAACCGGGTACTACGACCAAATCATCGAAAGAGGTAACCGCCGTCTTGTCATGTGCCCACCATCGAAGGGTACGAAGCAGTCCCTTCACGCAGAGACCCGACCGTCAGCTTTCCAAACCGCACTACCACGACCGATACCCAAACCGACGCACTTCTCACTGGGCTCTGGTCCGCCTCGAGCGCAAAGAGCATGAACTCCGCAGCAGAGCGAGCAGAACGTACAGTCAGCATTACATCGACACGGCATTCACGCAACATCACCATCAAGACCACCGACGCAGTCCACCCAACACGAGACAAAGAGGAAGAGACGTTTTCCCGAGCAAGTGTCTTCGCCCGCGCTTCTGTCAGGTCATGTCTTCGACGACTCCATTGTACCCATGCTGCCTTCCTGGACATGTGACAGTCTGCTCACGTCACCACGCCATCAGGCAACCGCGTTCTCCTTCGGGAGCTGACGTGTCCTAACGCTCACCACCCCATTTCACCACTCCCTCTCACCGACGCGTCTTGCAGCTACGAGGGGCCCAAGCTCAGCAGCTGTATATATAGTCCCCCGCCCCCTCCACCTCCATCTCCCATACACTCTCCCACCAGTCAACGCAAGCAAAAGTATCAACTCGACGCCCAGGCCTCGTCAACTACTCAACCAGCGGGCAGAACCCCACGAGACCCTACGCGACCATTGTCACTTTCGACCTCAGTGCACTGTCTTCACCACACTCACCGTTCACACTCATGAGCGCCGGTCAGCCCACGCTACTCAGTCCTCCGCACCCCCAACCTCTCTACACGCTACATGTACACATGAGTATCATGAAGGTAAGTGACTACATTTGTCTCTTGTTGCGATGTGCGCAGACTAACTTCCCACAAGTCGTATCAATGAACGTCCTCACCCGCTTCGACCAAGTTCAGCCCAGCTCTACCACCGACCGACCCCCGCCGCCGCCCTCCTCCCTGCACGCCCCGCCATCCACGCTTGACCTAGCCCCGTCGTCCACGAATCGCCATGGATCTCCACCGCATCTACCACCAGCAACCAGCAACCCTCCTAAGCCTTCGGCCAATAATCCTTGCTTTGCATGAGGCTCTCAACTGATTTTGGATTGATCTACATTTGGCTGATCTATCTCTAGTGTATCCTTCTACTGAACATGGATCTGACTTATGCCTCTAGGTCGTACTTGGTGGCCAGGGTGTTCCTGACGTCAGTCCACAAGACGAGCCTGAGGGCTGGGACCTTGAGAAGGTGGTCTCCGATGAAAGCGATGGCGGCAGTGATCTTGACATTGTCGGGGTGGTTGTGATCGCTGTAGACGGCGAGGATTTGTCGTTGTCGCTCAAGGGCAACAGCGAGGGCTTCTTCATATATCCAACAATGGTATCTTTGAAGGTTTGCGACGTGGAGACAGGTGTCTTTTCGCTGTAGGAGAGGAGTCTGAACACTAAGTGCTCTGCAGGGGTCGCAAATAGCAGGTTGCTATGCTTGTTAGTACTGTTTCTCTATACTAAATTGCACTTACCTTAGCGGTGGGCGTGGCGGCGGTGGGCGTGGCGGCTGGCATTGCGATCGTCGTTTTTTTGGGGATTTGGGGTGATTGTGGTGTTGGTGGCTGGGTTGAAAAAGGCCGGTGGATTTTTTTTGGGATTAGCTGCCGCCTAATGTGGGCCCACTAATGGGTGGGGCGGCCAATGGGATCGCTGGAAATTGGGCTTCAACGTCGATGTGAGAAAAGGCCAGTTGAGAGCTACAAGAAGCTGCGATGGCTCGCACGGACCATGTACCAGGGTAGAAGATCCAAGTCGACGTCGCCGTGACAACATCATGTACAAGTCGGTGTTGATGATGAGTGTGGTCGGTGATGATGAGTGTGGTTGGTGAGGCTCGGTGAGGTCGGTGAGGCTCGGTGAGGTCGGTGAGGCTGGGTGAGGTCGGTGAAGCTCGGTGAGGTCGCAGAGGCTGGATTGCCGTGGTCTAGGTTCAGGTGGTTTCGTGTTTGCGGTTGGTATCCGGTCTTTTCTCTTGTTGAGGATGTCGTGGCGGTGTCGCCGTTGGTAGGCCGATGTGATGTGGGCGCCGAAGCGAAAGCAGTTGTAGAATAATTGTAATGAAGTGGTGGGGCGGTTGTTGTGAGAGAGTGTGGGAGAGAGAGTGGGTGGGAGTGTGGGAGGACGGCGTAGCCAGGCGGGAGCCTGTAGACGCTAGTGTTAGCGCCGGGTCGTGCGCTGTATCCGTGCGTCACGGTTGCCGTAGTTCTGCCGGGGTCTTTCCGGTCCTACTGGATCGGATTTCATTGTGGGTATCGTGTCATTGTGTAGCAGAAAACCAGGTCTCTGTAGGCTTAGATTGTTCAATCTGGTGCGAACTCCTCTATGCTAGCTCACTCCTCACCGTGAGTTCGGGTTCAAGTGCTGCGCGACGGTGTTGCGTCGTGATGCTGCTGTCACGGAATGCCAATGCAAAATAAGCCTTTGGTGCTGTCAGATGCGATCTTGACTCGTTTGTTCTGCGGAAAACGCAGTCTCCAGCAGCATGTATGTTCGTACGGTGGTCCGAGGTCGCACATTCTGGGGATGCGGAATCGCGGTAGAGGATCTGTCGCAGTTGGGCCAGGTATCAGGAAGTGGCTGTTATGACCGCGATGCTATTGCGGAGGACCGTGGGATCTCACGGGCTTTGACTACCTAGTATGAAGCGAATCGTGTAGTCGCGCGTGGCGCTGGAGGTCGCTCATGATGCGATGGGGTGCCATTGCGAAATGAAGGTGGGACGCTGAGAGCAGAGTCAGTTTGCCGTTGTTCGAATGCTGCATCGGCGTACCTGAGTGACGCAGAGTCTCGACCAACGCTCTGTGGGCCTCTGCTCGCGAGAAGTGCTGTGTTGGTAGAAGGCAGAAGGTAGCGTGGGCAGGTGCCTGACACGAGCGCAGCCGGCGCCGACTGGCCTTGAGCCCTCGCGGCGCGAAGAGGTCGCAAGCTGCCTCTGGGGCATTCTAGAAGTTTCCTTAGGTTCTTCAGTATGCAAGGGCGAGTAATCTACTGGCTCGTTCCTCGTGATGAACGCAGAGTGCGCATTCGAGATAGTGGCGAGGAGATCGTTTGGTAGGGCATATGTGGCACCCATGGATAGCGGCGCTGGTCGGTGGTACCACATCAGGCAGCCGCTGCATGCAAAAATCGCGCCATAGCTATCCCACAGTCTGCAAACGGCAAGAGTCAACTTCACAACAGAGATCTCGATTCTCTCTCTTTACACTCCCCTGCAGCCGACTTAAAACATACCTCTAAAATGACCACGACCGCACGCGCGAACGATGTCTCGGCGATGGGGCCTCAGGAGCGTCTACGCGCTTTGGCAGCAGCACACTACCCCCCCAAAAGGGCGAACATTTGGAGGGCGAACATCGACATTACGAAGGTTGCCATTCGCGAGAGGACAAATCTGCGCCTGAGAGGGCCCATGTCGTATTCATCAGAGGAGCAGCAAGCGCTTGAGGAGTGGCGCAGGTGTGCTTTGCTCCACATCGATCGGCGCATCGCAAACTATCAACGTCGCCCCGCGCGCAGCAACATTCCCAGTGTACCTACCCGTAAGGACGCCTCGCGTGGACATCGGGTCCTCCGGATACCTGAGTTGCTCGACATGATTCTCCAGTTTGCGGGTCCTGAGGCACAGGTGTCGGCGTGGAACGTGTCGCGAGTCTGGCGGCGCTCGTCGAAGTCGGTCATCAGCAGCCGCCACAGGCATTCATATTGGCAGGCTTATCCATTCAACATTCCAGTGGAGTACGCTTCACTCGTCACTACACCTTACACGGCGTGGTGTGAACCAACCCAGGACGAGCTCGACAATTTTGCTCAGATACTTAGTCATCTTACACAACGAGTCGAAAATGGGCGCACCAACTACATCCCAACCACAGTTTCCGTTCGGTTGCGAGGGAAGCTCTTGTACCTTCCGGCGCGATACACACAGTATCCCAGTCTTCCATCGGCTATCGTAAGCGCCTTGGTTGATTTGCACGAGGACCAGAAAGAAACTTTCAATTCACTCTTCTTGCATCAGCACAGTGAGCCTGTGTCTGCGCCTGGGAGGACCTATTGGCTCGACTTTAGTCAGTTCAACATCAATCCCTATTTCAGTGCCTTGTTTGGACAGCGGTCAAAGGTCAAAATGGGTAGGATTGAGATTGCTCTTCGGTCTGGTAGCAGCTCAGTGGACTCTTTGTTTGAGCTGTGTGTCACCCAAGGCTTGCTCGACCTTCTAGGGCCTATGTTCATATCTCAACCGCCTTGTCGAGTAATCGGGTTATATCAAACCCGTAGGACTAAGCGCGGTTTCAACTACGATATGGACGATCTCGAGTTCTCTAACAAGCATCTTCTCGTGCGCGTGCGCAATGACAATGGTGTCAAGGTTGGGGACGTTGTTGAAGCGCTCCTCAAGCATACTCCGGAAGTGATATCCTCATGGTTTGACAGCGCGTCGGAGTTGCGCAGTCTGGTTTCGAGCGGGCATTGGGTTGATGACATATGGCATACACCGGGCACTCCACGGTTCTTCTTACTTCTAGACAATACGGTAATGTCGCAGGAGTGGATGGATGAAGGGGGACTACATGATCAAATCGCTCGTCTCTCGAGCGAGTTGCTCGGTAGACTCGACCCAGCGATGGTGCAGATACCCATCGCGTTTCGTGGCCACGACACTCGACCAGTCTATCTCACTGCTACTGGTTTCCGGGAAGAAAGACAGGGGGAGTGGATGCCCAGAGACGCGATGGAGCCAGCGCAATCGATCAGCAGTATCCGTTTCCCCATCAACTGGAACCGATAGTTCCCCCCGAAACCCAACAACCTAACCAGCTGCACATCGACACTAAGTCAATGTATCTATTACCTTGTAGCCACCAGGGTAGCCCGCAGGGTCATTAATGGAAGCGGTGCCATTGCTCGGCCCGCCAAACAAGTCAAGGGGTATGAGTGTGTCGTTTGACAGGGCTAAATACAATCGGGTTCTATCTACAAAACGGGTCTGAGTTCTCGAAAGGAAGACACTTTCATACGATACCACTCTGGTGGTCGTTAAATTCCAGTGCATTGATCAGTCACGATGGAGTGTGGAGCCTCGATTGATGTGAAACTCATGAAGTCCCCTCCGACGGCATGGAACGTCGTCAGATAATCGCGAATCACATGGCATGGTTACAAGATCTTGACAGCATGTGGAGAAGGTTAAATTATTGGAATCAAGATTAGAGCTAGTTATAATACAATAGTGAGGAAGAACGCAGTGCGCTGTCGAGTTACTTTTAGAACCCGCCCAAACGGATACCGGTGCTTGACCCTGGCGTTTGGTGAGGCGTCGGACTGCCGAAGGGAGAGTTTTGGCGTGAAGGTAAGTTGTAGGACTGCTGCGACATCCCGGGTGTATCGTAGGATGGGAAATCGTCCGTGTCATTCATCTCAATCGCTTTGGCCTTGCCTTTGCCTTTTCCCTTAGCTGTTGTCGTAGACATCATCGCGTCATCGTCGATGTCTTCCTCGTCGAAATCGCCATCAGTGTCCTGAGGCGGGACAGGCGTTGACCAAGATTTGGACGAACCACTTGAAACGATATCCATGGCCGGGTTGGAGGAGGCGCCTGGTGCGGAAGCGTTGCCGGAGCTAACAGCAGCTGTGGCGGGTTCGGGTGACGGGGGACGATATTCGAAGCCGGACAGTGTGTATAGCTCAGCGACCTCTGGCACAAAGGGCTCGTTGATGACATGGATGGAGTAAAGGTGTACCTTTACATGCCAGTCACGAGGAAACCATCTATCACCGATGCGCTTTTTGGCGTTCGAAACCTCAATTGTGTGAACTACCTGGACCCACATGCCATCTCGAAGTAGGTTTGGAGGTAACCACCTACTCTGGTTACAAGCATCGGTCCAGGTGTTGTTCCCAAGGTCACCTCGCATATCCTTTATGAAAGGAAACCCGTGCCGTCTGATGAATGTGAGTAAACGAGATAATGATGCTGGCGAGAAGAGCAACTTACACGTTCTGCTCGGCCCGTCGTTGTAGATCCTCTCTTCGGGGCATGGGTGAGTTCTTTCGCTCAGCATCCGCACTCAAAAAGCGAACGTAACGCTCCGCAACATCTTGTCTTCCAGCGACGTAACGGCAATCCGGATCGTTGAGGGGCGCGCTGATTGAACAAGTTAGCATAGATCGCTATGAGAGTGTGGATGGCTGTACGTACTCTTCCAGTTCTCTGTGCTGTCTAATCCACTCCAGCAACCCCAGTCGATCCTCATCGGCTTTACACCATTGGTGGAACGGTCCCGGAAGAGGGTCGAGACGAATGCTAAATTGATCGTATTTAGGCTTGCTACGAATTCCGGCAGTGGACCGAGCTATGCCATATGTATGAAACAGCTGGATGTATGTGTCAGGACGTGTAGCTCAAGTTCAAGTCTAGGGTCGAACATACCTTCTTCGATGTTGACCCTGGGTCAGTCACCCATGCCTTCGAGTTCCCCTCACCGCAGGCAATACCTTGTCGACCTTGCGACTGGTGCATGCGGCGGACGTTGGGTTGTTCCCGAAGGGCAAGGGTCAACTTCCTGCGTACCATCTGCTCAGTACCCAGCTGTGCCGAAGGTAAGCCAGGCGCAGGATCCGGAGGTATTGGACCAGGCGGTTCAAGGCTCCTAGTAACCCGTTGTGGTGGTGCAGCAGAAGTCGATTGCGCAGCACGAGGCGGCTGTGTAGAACGAGTCGTCGTCGTCGCCCTGTGGGCTGGCCTCTGTGCTACCTGCGACTGGACTGTCTGTGTGGGGGGCTGTGGTGTGAGATTGGCTGTACCCGCCACAAACGGTGTAGTGGCGGATGGTTGGGACAATGGTTGGGAAGACCCTGTCATGGGAGAACCTCGCACAGTTGGGGTTTGGAACTGTCCATAATTCTGGACATAATTCTGGCCCGGCTGAGCTTGCATGAGGACGTTGTGTGGATTCGGGTAAAGAATGGCTTCATGCTGTTGAAATGCATGCAGCGAGCCGTCCTGGGACGGCGCAAGGTGCTGGTGATAGGACATGTTTGCAAAGGAACATGTGCTGCGAGTGAGTGTTTAGATGGCTCGGGGGTGTGTCTTATAATGTCGTGTCAGGCCCGTAGATATTAGCACTTCTAGAACGAAATCGCTTGCAGCATGCCGAGTATCCATCTGCAACTCGGTGGCCCAACTCATTATCGAGGGCTGATCGCCTAGGAAGGTTAGCTGATATCATTTATTGTGGACTCCGGAAACCTGTTCCTGAGCGTCCATGTGGTGCAACAATGTGCCGGGAAATGAATTGTGGACGAGGAAATGGTGTTGACAATGTCAGCCAATCAACACAATCGACACGGGCGGCACGGAAGGGGCCCTGGGGGGATTTAGCGGCCACGGACATCAAACTAGGTACCACGCGGCCTAGTGGGAACATGTTCTCCATTTGATGTCTGCACTTCTGCACAAAAACCTACGCGTACCCATCCCGCACCGACAACAATGAAGCTATCACGGCGTATTCAGCCGCTCATTCCCACAAGGGTACCTCGTATCGACGATGATGAAGCCAGCCCGGCAGATTCTGCCGCTCGACGTCGGACTACGATCCGGTTCGACCTGTCCATCGACTGCGCTACCTACTATAGCGGGTCTGCAAAGTAGGGCCTTGCTGTGGGTTGTCTTAGAGTGTAGATGCTCTCTTTTCTCGGAGGCACAGTCGAAACACCCGCTCGAGGCAGAGCGGCTATGCGAGGAATCGCGCAATCTCAACGTCCGAAACACATGATCGTGACACTTCAAGCCCTGGTCACGCTTTTCGCCTACATCATGCAGCCATACTCACATTCAGAGACGCAAGACTCGTGTTCTCAATACTTATCATGGAGCCAATCAACATCGCGGTCGCTATACGGACAGCCCTCTGCGCCACAGGCGGCCGAGGTACCATTATCACTTCTCTTGTTCAGTGGGGCCGGAAACTAACATGTAACGCAGTCTCGGTCGTGGAATCATTCGCATCAAGGGCTGGAACAGTGTTTCACAACCGCTCAATCACATCCTCAAGACCCAACCGTACCGTCGATGCCGCCACCACCGTCTTATGCCGCACCAGCGCCCAAGTCACTATCTCTTGCCGCTCCAGTACCCGCTCTGACTTCGCATATCTACCCAAGAGCATTACCCAATGTGGCTCCGATGCCTACTCCGACGCCTACTCCAATGCCTACTCCAGTGCCTACTTCAATGCTTGGTCCAATGCCTACTGCTCCATCAGTGCAGATGCGACCTCGACCTCAGACTTTATCGGACGTATACCCGCAACCCGCTCCACCGGCTCATCAGTGGCCGTACCTGCTACAGTCATCACCTATGCCGGCACACATGAAACAGCGGTCACAAACATCGTGGATGACGCATCCGAATTTCGCTCCGCCGCTGTACCAGAATCCGTCTCAGCCACAGTCATCAGGAATACCATTGGACGTCCTTCCATATCCCACTCAAGACATACCTCGATATCAGGTAGGGTTGAAGGAGCAGTTCGAAAGTCACGCAGTTCCGACTTATGATGCATTCCCAATAACTACGCCACTGTCAGCACCACCTCCCAACCACATCGCGTTGCATGCACAATCCCATGCTCCGAATCTCGTGCAGAACACGTTACCGGCTACACAGCAATTTGGCGATGCGCAACACCATGACCATTCTGCTTACGTTCTCGACTGCAGCACCGTTCCTACGCCTGAACCCACTTCCCCGGGTCTGTACTCATCGGTACCAACTACAATGCCTCCCCCAAACCCTCCCGAAGTCCCGCGCAGGGGAGATTTGCAGCCAACACAGTCGCACCTCGGTCTCGAAACTCGCTCTCCTCAGCCTAGCCCAGGTACAGGTCACATCACCCTCCCTCCTCGCACCAAACGTGGACGGTAAGGTCTCTCATCATACAACAATGCCAAATACTAACACCTGAGCAGAAAGAGGAAGCCGGAACTTGAGGTTCCACCACCGAAAGTGCCGCATAAGACTTGTTGCCAGGAAATACAAGAGCCATCAAACGGGGTTGCACAAGTGACATGTTCACAATCTGTTCATAAAGACACTGATCATTGTGTCCGGCATCGTAAGTGTTGACATTGCCTTGTGTTCCTTTGTCCAACTGCTAATCCGTTCTTCATGTTCTAGACTTCTTGAAGGGTGTCAATGTGCCTATGGAGCCAGCGGCGTTCCTGGAGAAGAATGCTTCGACTCAAGATGAATTGGACAAGCACCAACGTCGAGTCCAGAAACGTCTCTCTGATGACATGAACAATGTTGGCATCTGTGGTGTGTGCGCCAGAGTCGAGCGTATCGAAAAGACCTGGAACGACAGACAAGTGAAGAGGTTCCTGGTGCGGCCAGGTAATTTGAAATGTCTTGAGGTCCCTCCACCAGAGAAGTTCTTGACGTACATGCGTTCCAACTTTGCGGAGAAGCCAGAGCTCGAGGCTGAATTCAACGACATGTTTACGTTTCAGAACCTACCGTCTCTCACGAATCACATCATCAGTCAAAGTGGCGTCGTGAACGATCGACTTCAGCTGTGCAAAGAGTGTCATAAGAGTCTTCGAGGGACGCCTTTAGTCAACCCGCCGAAGCTGAGTCTAGCCAACGGGACGTGGACCCATTCAGGAACCGTCCCGTCAGTGCTATTAAAGCTTACAGATCTGGAATCATTATGTCTTGGGATTAGGAGAGTTGGGGGTGCTTGCTACCGCCTTGTACCCGCAGTATCTGTACCTTCAGGCGTCGGCCCTCGTCAAAGAGCTTACCAAGGTCACTGGATATCCCACCCTCAGAGTATCAGTGACCTTCAGAACGAGTCGCTACGGGAATTGCCCATGCCTCCGGAAGAGCTTGCAAAAAGCATCCAAGTCAATCTCATCAATGAGGATGGAAAACCCGACTACGTGAAACAGGAGCTTGTGGTGGATCGCGACAGGATGAAGGAAGCTTGGGAATGGCTACGCTGGCGACATCCTGCATATGCTGGGGCATCTTGGAATGAGGAAGCGGCCTCATCCTACGACGGCGGAATACCTTCAGCCATCCTTCGATACCAGAGTAGTAATGGACGTCCAGCCGACGGGCCAGTTGACGGTAATGCGACGAACACCCCTGAAACCGGAACTGTATTCTACGACGAACCTATCATCTTCAACGATGAGGACGGCGACCATCTTGAGAACGAGCAAGAGAATGAAGGATTCGATGAAGACATGCGTATACCAGATTTCATTCCACTTGACGACTCAGTTGTTGGACCGACAAACAACGACAGTAATGATGTAGCGGGACAACACAGCCATCATCCGAAGAGAACTGTTATTGTGGACACTGAGGCAAACACTCTCGATAGCAGTTACAGGACGAAGATTGCTGCGGCAAAGCTTGGACAAGATCGTCCAATTGACAGTAATGAAAGCGATTCGCAAGCGCCACCCGAAAGCATCAATGTCACGAGGCAGACCATTCTGTCTCGTGAATATGATCGTGCTCATCTTCCCGAGCTCTTTCCACAACTATTCCCCTACGGCGAGGGCGGCTGCAATCTCGAGCGCAACGATGAACTCCCCAAGTCCCTGTCATTTCGCGAGCACATCAAGCTGTTATTGAGCCGCGGCCCAGCCAAGACAGGCAATGCGATGTTGAGGCTTGCTGGAGCCGGATTCTGCGATCACACCTGGTTTCTCCCCGCTATATGCAATATGCTAGTCAGGCATGAGACGAGCAGATTGACGTCGCTCAAGTGCGAAACTCCGTATGGAAAGAAGGCGGCAGCGAAGCTTGCAATGCTTAGTCAGAAAAACCTGCAGGAGTTGGTGGACCGTCAAGCAAATCCTGATCATTACTCTCATCCAGTCGACGCCGAAACCCAAGAACTGTTGGACACACTGTCGCATTACGTCAAAGCGGTGACCGGCGATATCATTGGTTCACATCAAGCTCGTCGTAAGAGTCGTAACGAAGTTTTTGCCATGATGATGAAGTACGGTCGTCCCGCTTTCTGGCTCACATTAAGTCCATCTGATGTTCACAGTAGGATGGTCTTGAAGCTATGCGGTTTCGACATTGATCTGGACAACGCGCATCCGGAGATCGAGCGAGAACGCTACTCGGAGTATGTGCGAGCGGACGTAGCTGCGAAGAATCCCGTCGCGCCGGCACAATACTTTCATGCTGTCGTTCAGGCTCTCTTCGAGGTCATGGTTGGTAAGAGGTCTGAAGCACGGGTCAGAGGTGCTGAACAAGATGATCACGATGGGAAAAAGCAGGATTATAAAGGCGTCTTTGGGCACCCGAGCGCTCACTACGGCACTGTGGAGACAAACTCACATGGTGGGTTACACTTGCACTATCTGATCTGGATCGAGGGCCTTCCCGAACGGGAAGATTTCATGCGTATGTTCGAGAACGAGGACACAAAAGAGAAGTTTCAGCAACTACTGCGTAAATATTTGGACCCTATCTGCCAGGTTCATATT